GCATTCAGGCCATTACTGCAAAACCTACACTAGGCATAGTCTCCTTTCTGTGTGTTCAAGTGTTCTTGTCCTGTATTTTTAAACTATTTTAAAAAATACACTGAGTTTGGGTTAAAAACCAACCACCAAATGGATACTGAAACCAGTTTACAGCCCAATGGCTCCCGGAGGCCAGGTGCCCCTACACCCAAATCCCTTCTCAGTACTGACAGTGAGTTGATTCTCTTTTTACAATAAAAAAGCTAAGTAATATTGCATAGGAGTACCAGAAACTGCCTCAGTGGAAACAGAAACTATTTACATTAAATAAAAACCTGGCTGCAGGCTGCGTCTGCACATGTACAGCACGGTGCGATGCACACTGTGACCAACCCATGGAAACAGCTTCTGGCACTCAGGACCACAGAGAGGAAAGCAGAGAGCAGAGAGGCGGAAGTAAGGGGGAAGGAGGGGTCTGGTTCACTTCTGGTTCCGGAGCTGATTGGACAGCCAGTCTAGTCCTTCATAGAGTCCATCCCCGCTGGTGGCACAGGTGGCCTGAATGTACCAGTTCCTGTATCGTAGAGAGTGCAGCCCCAGCTTGTCTGCGATTTCGGCCACATTCATGGCATTGGGGAGGTCCTGCTTGTTGGCAAACACCAAGAGAACTGCATCCCGGAGCTCATCTTCAGCTAGCATCCTCATGAGCTCACGGGCCTCATTCACACGCTCTCTGTCTTGCTGTCCACTACGAAGACCAAGCCATGGGTAATCTGGAAGTAATGGCGCCACAGCGGCCGGATCTTGTCCTGGCCACCCACATCCCACACGGTGAAGCTGATAGATACTCTTGTACTCAGCTGTCTCCACGTTGAAACCAATGGTGGGAATCGTGGTCACAATTTCACCCAGCTTCAGTACCACAAAGAATTTATATGTGAATCTTTCCACCCAGTAAGAATCCAGGACTCTCAAAGCTCCACCCATGGTGGAGTCCAGCTCTCTCCACGAGACTGAAGACAGGGCAGTCGTTAGCTGGTTAACACAGAGATGGGGGTTTGCAGTCTCCTTTATGAACATGAAGTTCTGCATCTGATGTAATTTCGCTTAGCCTCCTTAAGCAGCCTGTTGGCTTACCTGGCCAGGTGGGGTGGAGAGCCCTTTATAGCACAGAGTTGGGAATACAGCTAGCAGTGTACCCCTGAAGAAAATGCATTGTGTCAGACCTCATCTTCCTCTAGAGCAGAGGTTCCCACCCTTCTTAATGCTGGAACTCTTTCGTACAATTCCTCATGTTGTGGTGACCTCAACCATAAAATTATTTTCATTGCTATCTTGTAACTGTAATTTTGCTAGTGTTATGAATCATAATGTAAATATCCGATTATGCAGGATATTTAATATGTGAACCTTGTGAAAGTCATAGGACTCCTAAAGGGGTCGCAAGCCACAGGTTGAGAATCACTATTCTATAGTCTGTACTGTATGTACCCACTTTGACTCACATGATGGCTACCACCAGACAGAAAAGCACTTTTTTAGGGGGGAGGGGCTTCAAGACGGTTTCTCTGTAGCTTTTGGAACCTGTCTTGGAACTCATTTTGTAAACCAGGCTGGCCTCGAACTCACAGAGAGCAACCTGTCTCTGCCTCCTGAGTAATGGGATTAAAGGCATGCGCCACCACCACCAGGCCAGAAAAGCACTTTTAAAAATATACTTTTAATTATGTGTATTTTTGCATGTCTGTGTACATGTGAGTACAGGAGCCTACAGAGGCCAGGAAAGAAAGTCAGACCCCCGAAGCTGGAGTTACAGGCAGTTGTGAGCCACCCTAGGTAGATGCTGGGAACCAAATTCAGGTCCTCTGCAAAAGCAGTAAGTGCTCACGAGATCATCTCTCCAGCACCCATTTGTTGTCTGGAGACAGATCCTGTTGCCCAGGCTGCTCTCAAACACACTGTATAATTGAGGATGACTTGGAACTCTTGATCCTCCTCCCTCTGCCTCTCAAGTACAAGTCAGGTTTGCAGCCACGCCCAGTTTCACATGCTGTTTCAGCTGGTTCAGAGCACCAGCTCCAAAGCTGTGACTGCACATGGGCTCATGGTGCATGCTTAGCAAGTTACACAGTACTCTGTATGAGTGACTCTTCATGTTCAAAGAAACAGAAAACCACTCCAGTACTACTTGGGGCTGAGTTTATTCACTTTATTCTTGAAATATGGCCCTCCTGGCAAGGAGCTGGCAGGCACCTCCCCTAGGCATCACCGACTTCTGTTGGGTCCTTCTTTCTTTTTACCTCTCTGGACTGAGCTCCCTCCCTGTGGAAGAGGCTTCAGGCAAGTGGCACCTCCTCTCCGCTTAGGCTACTTTGTCTACAAGGATGCCAACCAAACCACAGAAAAGCCCCCGGGGAATGTCTTAGAAAGGTTATGTGGGGGGTCAGGGCTCAGGATAAAGTTCAGTTGGTAGAACATGTGCCTAGCCTGCAAGCCCTGGGTTCGATTCACAGCACTGCATAAATCAGGCATAGTATGCATGCCTGTAACACCAGAAAGAGGATAAAGGCAGGAGAATCAGAAGTTCAGTGCCACCCTGGGCTACTGAGTTCAAAGCCAGCCTGTACCACAGGAGACTAAGTTCCTGACCCCCAGCCCTGTCTCCCTAAATTCTACCTTTGAAAGGGATGCCACTTTCTTATGGAGTTATGTTCCTCAGCCAAACTCTCCTAGCCAAGGGCCCCCGTCACTTATAGTTGGGGGCAGATAGGGCAGTCTTAGCTCCAAGTCCCATGCCAGGAGAGTGTGTCTTGGCAGGCTTCCTGTGTGCGTGCTGGGTGAAGTGTGGAAGGGCAAGAAACGGCCCTCTGCCTTTGCTCTCCCCACCTCCATCACATGTGCCTTGTTTTTGGCCTCTCTGGGGCTAACTAGTATCCCCAGAATCCACATCCACCTGGAGCATAAGGGACTTCATCTTAAGTAGCATCTGTGGATATATCTGAGATGAGGTCATCCAGAGTGAGTAGGGTAGGTTCTAAATTGGGTGGGGGTTCAGACACCACACAGGGAGGGCCATGATGACTGGACCCACAGCCCAGAACACCTGGAATAGCCTGGGTCCCACTACAGGCAGAAGAGGCTGAGAAGCATCCTCTAGAGCTGCTGAGAACACAGCCCTGTCAACACCTCCCCTTCAGAACTGAGCAGATGAACACCTGCTGCTCTCAGCCATCATGTTCACAGTTCCATGACAGCTGCCTCATAGAGTCACATGGGCTGCACACTTGTACCTGGGCTGCAAGGAACTGGTCTCATGGATCCCACTAGGTACAACCTGGTTGGGAGGAGTCAAGATAACACCTTTCCATATAAAACTGCAGTTGGACAAGAGGCATGGACTCTGTGATGTCTTGAGGTCTACTGAGAGCATGATAAATATGGTTGATAACAATATGCTATACTTTAAAAGTTGTGAGATAGTATACTTTAAGTGTTCTCAAAACAAAAATGATGAATATGTGTGATATAACATGTTAATTGGTTTAATTTAGCCATGCCATTGTGAACATACTGTATTATGTATCATAATTGTGCATGACTTTATGAGCTAAATAAATGAATGGAAAAAAAATTAAAAAAAAAAGATACCACCTTTCCAGAGGAAGCTGAAGCACCAGTCTGGGACCACACTGGTGGTATGGGCCTGGAGTGGTGGTCCCCAAAGGAGCCCACATCACAGTGGTCTGCAGAGCCTGTCTCCAGTTTCTGGTTTCTTCCACAACAAGGCGTGCTCTGGTAGAAATCCAGGCTGCCATCCAGACAGTTTTCCAGGGTGATGATATCCCTAGTTAACTGCCCAAGAGGCACATGGTTGCCCAGGGCTCCAGGAACTTGCTATTCCTAAATACTCACTTTGGTAAATATTTTTAAATATTTCCTTAGGGCCAAGAAGATGGCTCAGTCGGTAAAGCCTTGCTTTTCAAGCACAAGGACCTGAGTTCTAACCCCAGAGCCCACATGAGAAAGGTCAAGCATGGTGGCACACGTGTGTTCTCTAGGCCTGGGGAGCTGGAGAGTGCTGGATCCCTGGAGCCCACTGGCCGGTGACTCTAACCTAATGGGCAAGTTCCAGGCCAATGAAAGAGACCCTGTCTCAACAGTAAGGTGGATAGTGCCTCTAAAGGATACCTGAGGTTTTCCTCTGGCCTATACACTGCCCACATTCCCACTGTTTTCTTACTAAGGGCTCCCCAAAATGTATAGTCTTCAGGCCCCACAAACCAGGCCTGTCCCTGCTTATGAAATAGCTGTTTAGACCTCCTGATGATAGTCTTGAAATGGCAGCACCCTGGAAGTAGGCAAGGAATGTGCCAGGCGGCTGAGGGGACAGACGCATGAGTAGAGCCATGTTCCCCACTCTGACTTCCGGTAACTTTACCCATGTCTCTTGTGAGGTGTGGCCAGGCTCCAAGAGCGTAGTCAACTTGCCGAAGGCTCAGGGCTACCTCCTACAAAGTAGCTTTCCACTGCCTCCTAGCACAGGAGACGACTGGTGGGACACCCTCAGCGACAAGTCTGAGGTGCTCTACTTCCCCTCACTGACCTAGGCTCCCCTGAGGAACACTCTATTGACTGGGAAGAGAGTCTTCTTGCTCACAGCCCCAAGAGCCTGTCAGTGGTTCTCAACCTTCCTAATGCTGGGACCCTTTAATATAGTTCCTCATGTTGTGGTGACCCTCAGCCATAAAATTATTTTTATTGCTACTCCATAACTGTGATTTTTGCTGAGTGGTGTCTCTGTTTCTAAGACCATGAGAAATATGAATTTTCTGATGGTTGAGAACCGATGCTTTAGGTGGTAGGCAGGTGGGGAGGAGAGCAGGGTTAGGGCCCTCAAGGTCTTCAAGAGAAAGCCTTGTACCCTGCAGCCTAGGCCCCAGACCAACCAGTCTTTCCCTCAGTCCAGAACTCCCTCCTGCCTCCCCACCACACTCCCAAAGGTAGAAACAGCCACCAGCCAGGCCGGGCTCCACACCACCTTTATTCAGACCTCTCACCACCCAGCATGGTCTAGCCTGTAGAAAGACCACAACAAAAGGGAAGAACAAGGCCCAGTGTTCCCTGAGAGCAACAGAAAAGAATGCATAGTAGGAGTGTCCCCAAGACTCACAGCACAGGCCAGTGCTGTGCCTTGGAGACCTGTATCTGAGGCCTGGGAAGAGGTGGGCTGGGGAGAGGCAGGAGCCACCATGCTGGGAACAAAGGCACCAGGCAGGTGGTGAGAGATTCAGGTTGAGATGTGATGTCATGAGAGACAGATTTGTCTTAAAATGGGTCTCAGGGAATCTGTACCACAAGGACTTGAGAATTCTGCCTTCCATGTAGTTCCAAACCCAGGCTGGGTTCCAGAGTTCAGCTGATAGTGACCTGGAGCCGGGCCTCTGGCTCCCTGGAGACTGGATTCTCAGCAGTTTGTGAGTGGGGTCCGAGGCTGGACAAGATAGGAGCATACCCCACTGGGCTGAGGGTAGGGATGCCATAACAGACAGAACCACTCTTCCTTGCTAAGGCTGTCCCAGGGGAATCAGTAACCCCCCAGCTCATGGAGCCACTTGGGGACCATGGAGCCCTCTAGTACAAATGAAGCCCAGAGGTGGAAACGCTCTGTTCAAAGGACAGAAGTTGTATCCTTTAGGTCTAGGGACAGGCATGGCCACCAAAAGACATTTCCGTGAGGCCAGCCCAGTCCTGAGACATAGGAGTATTATCTCTAATAGTAGTGAAGTACAGGGTAGGGAGGGCAGGGGCCAGGATCTTGGCCTTCATATACTTCCCCAAACTAATTTCATCTTAAGTCCAAAGCAACGAACAAAAAACAACCCTGACCAAAGCAGCCATGTCTTTCAACAATGCGCTCTGCCCGTCCCTGTGCACATGCACAGTCCACATTACCACGGGTGCACATATGCACCCTTGCACAAATGTCCATGGCCTATTGCTCCCAGGGAGCCTCAGTGCTGACTGCTGACATGGAGTGTGTAGAAGGCCCAGGGCTCGGGGACATAGATGACACCAGGGTACTTCTTTCTGAGTACAGGATCATTCCACAGCCAAGCAACCCACAGAGCCACCAGTGAGAGGGTGAGGGCAAAGGAATAGAAGAGGAAGAGGCCGTTGCTGTCCAGGAAGAGGCGCCTGCGCTTCTGGTGCAAGACGAGAGCCAGCATGGCAAAGAAGGTGAAGATGAAGAGAATGAAGATCTGGCCCTCGGTGACCAGGTACCTGGAGAAAGAAGACAGGTGTAGAGGTGAGGTGGGTGCTATGGCAACACCATCCTGCCTGGTATCCCTCTGGACTAATGTGCCAGGACAATCTAAACCATAGCCCAGAGGTATCATACTACTTTGAATTTAAGTGGTGTAATAATACTCTGGATAGCTGGACATGTTGGCACACACCTTTAATCTCAGCACTAGGGAGGCAGAGGCAGGCAGATCTTTGTGAGTTTGAGGCCAACCTGGTCTACATAGTTGAGTTCCAGGACAGCTAAGGCTACAAAGACCCTGTTTCAAAATAATAATAATAATAATAATAATAATAAGTAGTAGTAGTAGTAGTAGTAGTAATAAAATACAACATTCAGCTTGGTGTGGGGCTCACATGTTTACATGGCACCCAGGAGGCAGAGTCAGAGGCAGGGGGGGTCTCTGGTTACCACACAGCAAGTTCCAAGGCTACATACTGAGAATCAGAATCTGGCTTTGGTGTCTGGCATTTCTCAGCACACAGGACACTTCCACCTGAAGATGCACTCATTGCAGAGAACACCATGAGACACGTGGCCTCAGCTATCACATCCCCTGAGGCCTCATCTGCTACCTGCACAGTCCTCCCTCAACCCAGAAGCCTGGGGGTGGCAAGTCTTACATGGGGTCACACTGCAGGTCTGGTGTCTCGTGTGTGTGTGGTGTGTGTGTGTGTGTGGTGTGTGTGTGTGTGTGTGTGTGTGTGAGTGTGAGTGTGGTGTGTGTGTGTGTGTGTGGCGGGGGTGCGTGTGTGGGAGTGAGGGAGGGTGTGTGCGGGCGGGGGGTGGGGGTGTGAGTGCGC